TAAATAATAATCTACATATATTGTTATAATAAAGGAATAATTATATAATAATAATGTTCACATAAATATCAATTCAATAATATTAATTTAAATGACTTCGAGCCGTGCTGGATATTATTTGTATAATTTTTTCAATAAAATAATTTATTAATGTAATAATTATAAACGTTTCGACTTTTTAAACTTAATCATCTTCAGTGATCTTGTTTTAGTAAATTCTAATCAATAACCTAATGTTTTATATTTACAATCTTTCTTATACATATAAATCAAGGTTGTACTCTTTAGTCATTGTATCAAATTGAAAATCAAGGATTGAGTATTCATAGAAACATAATCAGCAAGTTTAATGTTTCAATTTGATACAATGATTGAGGAGCCATACAATCTTGAATTGGACAGTTCGAATGAATTTCAAGAGATCATTTGACAAAATATGAAAATAAGAATATTGCTATTTATACATTTGAAGACATATGATTTCCTCGGATTGATTTGAACGTTATATATATAAGAAAGACTGCGAATAAAACCTTAGATAATTAGAATTTATTAGAACAAGATCACTGAAGATGGCCAAGTTTAAAAGGTCGAAACGTTTATATTAATAAATTAATATAAACTTTTAAAGTTATTATATTAATAAATTATTATTTTATTAAAAAGTTCGCAAATATTCAGCGCGACTCGAATAGCCATTTAATATTATGAAATAATTCTAAATAATATACAGAATTCTTTTTTTTCCTAAGGTTTCAATTATTTTAAAGTAATATTTATATTTGCTATATTAAATTGTATATCGCCGAAATATTGTAGATCATCAAATTTTTATCAAAGTTTTCCTGTTTCAACATTAATTTAAGACTCGCTGATACATTATATTGAAGCTAAAGCATTCATTTTACGAGAAGCGTATATGATGAAGAGGGGCATTTAAAAGCAGACCGAAGACTAGTCCACGGCCAGTCCCGCTTGTACAACGAACGAGAAAATTTCTCCACAAGTGCAAGGTAAGGTAAATTCAAAGTTCGTAAAAGGAAGTGCGTAAAAGGAATTCTCCTTCATCAATTTTTTTTTTAAATTTTTTTCTTACGGTATACTTAGCAGAATGATTTTTAAGTAATGTATAGCTTTATTTATTTGTCCGATGTATGAAATATTTATTAATTTAATTTTTATAATCAATAAAATTTATTATTGTGTGAAAAGAATAAGTGTTATAAAGACATAAAAATATTATCGTCAAATTCCATTATTATATTTCAAATACTGGTAAAAAATTTTAAGTTATTAATTTAAAGATATCGACATTAAAAAATTTACATTTTTCTTTTTAAACCTTATACATGTAATATTGTAAAAGTAAAAGAAGATAATATGTGCATTATACCTTAATTGAACTTTGAAAAAATAATTGCAACTTTTAAATATAATTTTCAAATAAAATAAGTAAATTGAACTGTGTGCAAGTATTTATAATAATTCGAATCAGTGCGTTTTATATATTTCAATTAATCTTTAAAACAATTTGAAAAAAAAGAATCGCAATTAGATATAATTTACAAATAGCATATATGTATACAAATGTAAAAATTATAAATATGTAAAATAAATATAATTTATGTAAATTGTGTGTAATTTATGTAAAATGTAAATTGAAATATATGCAAATGTTTGTAATAATTCGAATCAGTGGATCGTACACGTTTGATGCATTCTCCGAATGTCAGCTTGAAAAGATGTCAGCTTGAATTCCAAAGTGGATGAAGTTGAAATAAGAATTCGAAAGCGATGATGAGTACCTTAAAAATAAAAGTGCTAAAATATGCTTCGATTACGCAACTTATGGGATAATAAGGGTGACGGCGCATTTGCGCAAGTAATGTGTCGATTCTTCCGTATGCAACTTTCTCTTACGAGAGTACAAGTGTTTCACTTTTCTCTCTGAAACTCGTTTATTGTACGCGTACTTGTGCGTATATTTGTATCAATGTGTGCGTATATCCGACCAGGAATACAAAATACCGATGTAAATACCGATTGCACGAACTTAATGTCTAATAAGTAGACTCAAAAAAAATTGAGAGAAAATATATTTCCTGAAATTTATACTTTTTATGAAACAAATCTGTTTATTACAATTATTGAGTATGTTTTTTTTTGCTTCTTTTATGTTATTTTTAACTCCATTTTTTCTTAAAGCTAATATCACTAAATAGAAAATGCACATGTTAATCTTACATAAATTCTGTGTATTTTTAGTG